AAGATCCCCGTTCAATTCTCTACAACTAGCCAAAATTTGCCCCAGCTATGCCGCGCCATTCGGAACCCATTCCCGAAAATCACCAGTGGAGATCGAACAGACCCCGCGCCCAAGCGCGTGTTAAGTCAGGATCATCAAAAGGCTCAAAATCTTCTATGACTGGCACAAATACCAGAAACCTGACATGATATAGGCAAGATACTGGTGTGTCAACACCCAAAGTACGCAGCGTGGACCTTCGTTAATCCGCTTCGTGTTTTAGTAAAATTTGTGAGGGCTGTGGCCAATTGCATATATTTGGTAAAATTTGTGAGGGCTGTGGCAAATTGCATATATTCGGTAAAATTTGTGAGGGCTGTGGCCAACTGCATATACAAACTGAAGCAAGTGAGCAAGTTGTAAATTTAAAAATCCTTAACACGCCATGTACATGTGCTGACGACAGCCATTCGACCTGCGCCATAAAACACCACGTGCGCAATTCCTCAGACTACTGGGTGAGTTGTTGTCGTGCACTTCCACACAAAATGTGCGCAAAATGTCCCTTACGCTGATGCAACGTGTACATGACAACATTTCTCACATTCCCGAAATTTAAATTTTGAGGCGTCAAATCACGCGTTTACATGTGCAGGTCTTCCGAGAAAACGTCATATATTCATGTGCGTGCATACTTGTCTCGGTGAGCAGTTCGGGCCCATCAAAGTTCGGGAGGTCGAAAATATTATCGCACGTATTTACAACAGAAAGAAATCGAACTGAATATTCATGAGTCTGTGTCTATGGGTGGATTCTAAATTGATCCTCGTTATAAAGAAAAGAGCAATGCAAAGAGCGATGTGGACAGCAAACGATGTTGGTCAGATCAACTTGTTTACCATGAAGCTTTCAGTAATATTTGTAGACATAAGCGAGCATGAAACCCAGGCATGCAGCTCTAACATGCCTTTAAAAATAAGCAGGTGTAATGGAAAGCACTCTAAACGTAGGCAAGTGCCTGTAGCCAGATACCCTGTACAACCATAATCATAATAACAGCATGAAATGTCTCTTTCAGCCATTACAGATGCCTCCCGCCACTCTTTTTAGCACAGGTACGCAAGCTTACCGGAATGTTCCAGGCATAGGCCACTCAATGTCATCCTAACCCAAAATCTTTTAGTTTGTACTTGCAAAATCCAGATGCAGTTATGTTGAGATTTTAGGGTTTATACATGTATTCGGCCTCTAAGACGCACTTCTTTCACTCATCCTCAATAATGCGCGCACCATTTTCGGGTTTTACTCACGCGCTGCGGTCCTAGGTTGCTTTTTTACGTAAAAAGCTAGCGTTTATTCACCGAAAAAAGAGTATTGTTATTCTGCCTATGGTATGAAACACTTGACGTGATTTTTCGTCATTGGCGTCAAACCACACAAATCATCTAACGCAGCCCGTGCATCATCAAAGTGCCGAGTGCGACGAACCATTGATGTACGGCAGGCAGCTGGCCGTCATCAGATGAGTTAATTCCCATACAAAAAAAAACATTTGCAACTATTTTCGCGAAGCGGCTCTCAAAGGCGAGTAGATCGCTAGATCATGCATCTTCAGTGTAGCACATATGCTTGCCATAATAATCCAACGCCAAGCCCAAATCAATGAAGTCCTGGTTTAGAAACTGCATATATTAGCTCCAAACAAGCACTCAATGAAGAAACAAGGCAGCAAGCACAGCCCCGACCAGTAGGAACAAACTGCATCCATTTGCATAAAAGCCTGTGTCCTGGGCTATTCAGCGTGAATTTAAATGCGCATACTGCGCGGAACGCAGTCACATGTAAAGCACAGCACAAAAACGCATTGTCTGAATAGCAGGAAAGCGCACAAGTTTTTCGTCTTCGGAGAGACGCTACGATCATCTACAAACCGCTTAACAAAACGCCAGACTCGCCACCGCAAAGCAGGCTACCGGACGCGTGCGGGCGAAGCAGCGCCGCTTGACCACAGCAGGCCACGCCGAGCCGCTCGGCTCCACTGGCCGGGTTCTCCCGCGGCAGCCGCAGCTGCGCCGCGGCCCGCCGGCGCCGGCGCTCGGCCGCCGCCATCGGCCCGTCCGGCGCTGGCCAGCGGCGGGCGAGTCGACGACGTGGTCCGGTTGACCGACGGCGTGATCCGAGGCCAGCAGGTGGCGAGCGCGCCACCAGGGATCTGGACCAGAACGGATTACGCGCTCGACTTTTGGAAGGCTCAGGGGATGGTTCTGGGGGGTTAGGAGAAGGCTCTGGAGCGGGATCCGGACTAGGATCAGGAACGGGTTCTGAGTTCCGTTTTTTGGAGGGCTCAGGGGATGGTTCTGGAGCCTCAGGAGAAGGCTCTGGAGCGGGATCCGGACTAGGATCTGGAACAGGTTCTGAGTTCAACTTTTTGGAGGGCTCAGGGGATGTTTCTACAGCAGGCTCTTTGGTAGGCTCTTTAGCGGGTTCTGAAGGGGAAGATGGGTCAGATTTCTTTGGATTGGGATCCGATGTAGGTTTAGGAGAAGACTTTGTGGAGGATTCGGGGGCCGGTGGTGTGGAAAGTTCTGGGGATGACTTCTGAGAAGGCTTAGGAGAGGGTTCTGGAACAGGCTTTGAAGAAGGTCTTGGAGCAGGCCCTGGAGTGGACTTTGAGCGAGGCTCTAGCTCGGGGCTTGGATCAGGTTTTGGGTTTCGTTTTCTTTTCGGCTCTGTGGCTGGTGATGGAACAGGATTATCAGAAGGTTTTTCAGTGGGTTTGGGAGTGGTCCTTTCAATGGGTTTCGAAGTGGACCTTTCACTGGATTTTTCGTTGGGCTTTTCAGTGGGCTTGGGAGTGGGCTTGGGAGTGGCCTTGGGAGTGGGCTTGGGAGTAGGATTGGAAGTGGGCTTGGGAGTGGGTTTAGGAGTGGGCTTTGGAGTGGGCTTGGGAGTGGGCCTTTCACTGGGCTCCGGCGTGGGCTTGGCGGCGGGTTTTCTGTTGTTCCTCCGAGACGACCTACGCCTGGACTTGGTGCGGCGTTCGGGCTCCTCCTCATCGGGCTCTTCGACCTCGGGCGGCTCCCACTCCTCGAGCTCGATCTCGGTGTCGGGCTCCTCGCGCTCGCGCTCCCACTCCCAGTAGCGCGGGCGCCAGGGCCGCCTTGCCGTCAGGCGGTGGTCGTGCTGTCCGCGCCTCAGGACGCCGCAGTCCGTGGGCCCGGCCGGGTAGCACGGCCAGGCGGGGCCGGCCAGCGCCGAGCACACGGCCGCCAGCACCAGCACCAGTCTCATGGCCATACTGCTGCAGGGTAGGGCACCTGCAGAGTGTGTCCTCGAGAAAGACACACCAGTTTTATACCCATCGCCGAGCGCCGCTTTTTTATTTGTCGCAAAATGGAACATTGTGGACAGAACCGGTTCGCCGATCATGGACAACAGCGTCAGAGCCCCATCGGGCTGCTGTGATTGGTAGGCAGGATCGGCAAAATTCGCAGCTCGACATGAACTGGGCGAATCAAGATTAACAATGTGATGAGTGATACGCGATGCCGATTGGCTACAGCACACAGCCTTCAAGTAACTGCATGGTAAAATAATCATCACAACTACCTACGTGCATAAAGGTGCTTATGTACCGTACGTCCATGCCATGTAGCCAATAAGCCAAACCTGGCTTCCTCACCTGCTCCTAGCCCTAAAAAATCGCTCAACGCTGGCAATGTGACGCAAGCCGGCGAGGGACTGGAATATCTACATATGAACAAATGGTGAGCAAGAGCAGTGGCGCGCCTGACCGGATACAGACTTTTGCTGGCGTGGTTCTTTTCACCCGAGGACGCAAAATGGCCGGGCACTTTCCAGCCATGCAGCTGTCATTACCCTTTCCAAGAAGCTGCTCCCTTCTTGGCCAGTGTCCAAGCTGAGTGTGAGACTCACGGACCTCCACACCTGCGGTGCAGCAAACGTGCCTAGTTACCTTTTGATTCGGGTGCTATATGCTAAGAAAAATGTGCGCAATTCCGGCATCAGTTTCAGTGAACGCTTTATGACGCACGCGGTGTCCTTGAATGGTTTGCGTATCACCTACCGTATCATACCGATAAGCCTGCATACAATTGTGAGATCTAAAGGCACCTTAATGTTGCTGTGGGGCAAAACAGTACATGAACAGGCTGAGTGAATATCGGCAGCTATCTGCAAACGTCTTTACTAGCCTGACGCCTTCATAAAGCGTATCTATTCGCGTAACCTTATATCACCTTGAGCCCATCAAATTATTGCCATCAAACGCATCACGCTACTTGCGCAGCACCAGGAGATGACGGTGCGTGATGTCCATCAATAGGCTTTATACTGCGACCGGATCCCCGACACTGTGCTGCTGACTTCCATTGAAGAGACCACTATCTTTGTGTTTGCGAACATGTGATCCCTGCCATCGATGGCCATCCAGAGCCTGAGACCGGGACCGGCCGTGGAGCATATACGGCATCCGATTACCATCCCATTCCATCTCATTCCATAGCGTTCTTTCGTGCTCCTTCCCGTGTCATCGGGAGGCCATCCGCGGCGCAGGCGTCTGCCGACTTGGCGGGGCTGGGAGTAGGATCCCTGCTATCTTCACGGAGCCCGCCCCGGGCTCTCTCACAGCCTGACATCGTGTGCCCTTCCACCTCCGGGGGTGGGTCTGTCCGGCCCCCAGGATCTCAGCGCGGTCGTGTCTCGGGTGGCGCTGCTCCCGCGGCAGCCAGCGTCCATCTCCGCCACCTGCCGACCGGCGCCGGGGCCGGCCGCCACGCCAGCGGCGCAGCTTCAGGTGCGTCAGAGCTCTGCGCCTGCAGCGCGGCCTCCGTCTGCCACGTGCTACTCGGAGTAACTGTGACCTGTCTGTGAGATCATCTGGTCCCCATCGGTTAGTCTAGCCCAAACGGTATACGCGTTCGGAGTAACTGTGCGCTGGCTGTAAGATCATCTGGTCACAATCGGCCAGTCGAGCCCAAACGGTGTACGCGTCAGCCCATGTCTCATTATTTATTTACAACGTACGATAGAAACGAATACAGCTTGTTCTTCAAAGACCAGAATCAGTCTGAATTGAAACATGCGAAGAAAACATCCGAAATGAAAGATGCACCTCGAACATTAAATACTACAGGTGTAGAAAATGCAGGTGGCAACGATCATCAACAATTGAACATCGAACCACATCGAACGACATTGAAGACAACATCAACATACAACGATGAGTGCAAGCGCTGAAGATAATGTGCATCGCAAGCTGCCATATATAAACAAACCGTGCGCTACGCTGAATACCACGGCAGACTAGCTACCAGCTCATCGCTTGTCGCAGCTTGTCGCCACACCACAATCACATGTCACACGCATGCACATGCACGCACAAACACGCTCCCAATGTAAGGGCGGGAGCTCGCATGAAACGGGGCGTTATAGGCAGGTCCCTCCTGACGCTGAAATAATTTGCTAGCAACGGTCCAAGTCCCATTCGTCACAATCATAACCACATGAGCTCGAGAAAGCAAGCCGCGATAGAGACGCCTTTAAATGGCCGGCACTTCAAACAGATAGCTTTTGCGCCCACGAAAGCTGGTGCAAATGATACCTAAATTCATCAGTCATAACAAGAGTGAACCGCACGCGAGCCGTGATGTTCGAGTGAGCCGCGGCTCGTCCGAGGATGACCGCCTCGCCGGTCCCGTGAGCACCGCTCTGGCCGTCCCCGGCGCACCTCTGGCAGGCCGGTAGTCCAGCCGTCCGCATGGTGACCCGGCCCCGGTCGGCAGGCCGCGCCCCAGCCGACACAGACGCCAGACGTTGCCTATCCTACCAGGCCGGAGCTGCCGTAGTAGGCGAACGGGTTGGCGCCGTAGTACAGGCTGTAGTTGGGATAATAGTAGGCGCCGGGCGGCAGGGACGCCACATCCGTGATAGCCGGATCGGCGGCCGGCTGGGCCGGCTCAGTCGGCTGAGCCTGCGCTGGCTGGGTCGGCTGGGTCGGCTGCTGGTGGCCGGGCTGCGTGGGCTGCGCCGGCTGCTGGGAAGTGGGCTCCGTGGGCTGCGGTTGCTGCTGGAAGGCAGGCTGGCTGGGCTGTCCGGACGAATGCTGTGGAGGCTGCTGCGGCAAGTGCTGCGGCGGCTGCTGCGGCAGGTGCTGCGGCGGCTGCTGCGGCAAGTGCTGTGACGGCTGGTGGAAAGGTGGCTGATGGGGTGGCTGCTGGGGCGGCTGCTGTGGCGGCTGCTGGGATGGCTGCTGGGGCGGCTGCTGGGGCGGCTGCTGGTACGTCGGCTGCTGCGGCTGCTGCGGCTGCTGGTAAGTGGGCTGCTGCTGCGGCTGCTGGTGCGGGTGCTGGGGCGGCTGCTGGTGCGGCTGCTGGGGCGGCTGCTGGTAATTCGGCTGGAGCGGCTGCTGCGGACGCTGTTGGAATCCGGTCTGGGCGGGCTGCTGGTGGCCGGTCTGCAGCGACTGCGACGGCGGTGGCTGGTAAGCAACCTGCCTGGTCTGCGCCGCCGCCTGATACGTCGGCTCCACAGACTGGTACGAGGCGGGCTCGGCGGTTTGCGACGCGCCGACGGCTTGCGGCACGCCGGCGGCCGCCGCTGCCACCGCTTTCGTCAGCATGTCCGGGTCGAAGCTAATGCCCTGTGCGGAGGCGGCCGTGATGGCGGCTATCGCTGCGTCGAAGGCGGCACGGAACTTGTTGGCGGCCGAGCCGGGCGCGTCGGGCTCGGTAGAGCGGGGCCTGTACGTGGTCGGCTCGGGCGCCGGCTGAGTAGGCGTCGGCGCCGGATGGGTTGGCAATGGTGCCGGTGTCGGCGCCGGTGTCGGCGCTGCTGTCGGCGCTGCTGCCGGAGCCGGCGCCTGGGCTTGACCCTGGTGCTGCAGGGCGTGACACCCGTACCCGTACAGCTGGCACAAGATCGGTGATGCTTGGCTGACGGACAGCGCACAGGCTAGCACGAGCAGCGACCTCATGATGGCGACACGGAGGAGGCTCGCTGTGTAATGAGCCCAGGAGCGCCGGCTCGCCGTTTTATACCCCACTTTCCGCAGTGATTTTCCGATAGAGCCGCCGAGGCTCGTGCGGGTACCGGTTTCTACGGGTGTTCTGACCAGCCGCGGAGCCGGCGCAGCGGTGCTGAGCCGCTGAAGGAGGTGGCAGCTGACTCAGACGCACATCAGACGGAAGCCGGCGCGACTCACAGCCGCTGCGATCGCCCATAATACATCTTAATAAGCCAGACAAGTGCATGCTTCTTGGTGCCTTGATGTACGCAAGAAAGACTTTCAGCTCCTGGTTTGTCAGCAAAATGAGCTCGGCGTTCTCACACTGACAATTGTCAGCCTTTAATATATAATGGTAGTGGTTTAACGACGATGTTAAGCAAGCATTAGTTACAATGTCAACATTCGACGTTCAAAGTAAACCTGTGATCACAGTGAACGGAGTCAAGAACAAACTGCATATCAAGCCGGGACTAACCAAGACCTGAATCCAGAAAGTTGTCCGATTTTTGTTGTTTTGTGCCAATTGTCGAGTTCAGGGTCCAGAAGACAACGATTCAAAATTTCGAGAAGCACCGCCCTGTCGAAGACTTCGCGGGTGCTTCCACCGAAAAGCTACTCACGGCAACCACGACTAATGGGCCCAATTTTTGCCGCATGGAGCAGTTTGCACACCAGGACCGGAGACTGCCTAATAAGGATGCAATGTTTTATGGGTTTTGCATGTCATTTGTGGGATGCACAATGTCCTAACCATGCCCTGCATCTCTGACATGCTAAAAGGCTTCAAGTGCGCACCTAAGTGTCTTCATATCCAGCTTATCCTGGTCGCTTGCTGACAGCCAAACCGGCGTCTTCAAAGGAGCCTATGACGCCGGCGTTTCCTTCGGGGCAAGCAAAAGAAATGCGCAAAACGAGACATTGCTGACATATAATCATAACGGTGAGTCCATCTGACTCGGAAGCAGCAGCACGTAAAGCGGTTTTATGAAACCGAGGACGCTAAACACATTGCGGGCCATTGTCATCCAGAAATTGGGATGTAAGTTATCTCGATGTGTCATATTTAATAACAAGCTAGAAAAGGAGTCACAAAAAGCATTTTGAAAGCACAGGACGTTGTTAAAGGGAGTGTTCCACCTTTCATGATAGTAAAGGAAGCATCAGATTGGCATGCTTTTAAATGAAAGACTGTTGGAGACGACAAAATTCCTTAATTTCGTAAATATGCTGCTCAATACGTCACTGCTTCACCGCGTCATAGAGCGTTTGTATGCCGTTAGAGGTGGTGTCAAACTGGCTGTGCGAAAGTGACACCTTAACGCTCACTTGTAGCACTTCAACTTGCCGGGAGGTAGCGCGCTGGACGCGTTTAAAACTTTTTGAAAACTTTTAAACGTTTATTTTCTGCCAATCATTTTATCATCTATTTTCGACTGGAAATGTTTCGCAGAAATTTATAAACATTTTGTAAGGTCACATAGTTCGATACCACTGTGGTTGGAACGCTATAAGCAACATAATTTTCATGGACAGATGTAAAGCCAGATCCCTTCCCAACGAAACTTTTCAAAACTCGTTTTAAGAACATTCGTTGGCATCTCTGATGCACACGCGGCAAAACAAACTCCTATACCCTTATATTCTTGTAGCGTCCCTGTTCAAAAGTACGCAGTACTTACAAGCTTACTTACAGTACTCACAGAACCTATTTACAGTATTATAGTGCCTGCTTACAGTACTTACTGAGTTTTCAGGGCTTACATACCTCAACATGATCCAAGATGAATGATCTTTGAACGAAATGATCCTCCAAGCTCGCCTTGCTCCACCCATCACCGATGTAAATAATAACGGTGCAGCCATCATCCAACGCCCCCGACCGATTCACATTGCCGATTGCCAGGCATAGTATTGCCTGGCAATCGACAAATTTGACCCCGACACCTCGACTTTGGGCGAACTAAAGATATGGGCTGAAGAAATGTATATAAAGAGCCTCATTTAATATAACCAACTTATTCTTGGTTGCATACACGTGGTTCAACTATTACATGCCAATGGAATTGAATGAAAGCAATATTTTCTGTCAGAGTTTTTGGTATATGATAAAACTTCAAAGCAATACTTTAAAAAACTACGTAAGTTGTTCCATGCATTAGCGAGGAACTTTATTCACAGAGATAGGACAGTAGTATTAGCCTTATTCCTCGGAGAAAAATCGGGAGAATGGAGATATAGTTCGGTTGATATTTCGGCAACATGTCTTTATCGAAACAATAGCACAAGTCTATGCTATCTATAAGTCTTACTATGTAGTCAACTATAACTTTATGTTTTTAATTCTAACTATGAGTCAACTTTTGCTGTTATTTCGATATCATTTCGATAATGTCATGTTGCCGAAATATCAGCCCAACTATATATCTATTCTCCTGTTTTTTTTTTGTTGTTGCAAGGAATAAGGCTGATACCACTGTCTTGCTTAAAAACTCTTTTTAAAAACTTTTCGGTGCATTAATCCATCGTGATAACGGCTGTTGTAGAAGTCACGTGGGTACTGAAAACGGCTATGTGCACTATGCACTCCATCAGAATGAAACGGGATCCATCATTACGTATGCATTATGTGAACGGGTGCAAAGAGCGCGATCTTACGTTAATAAGTCAGCTTCATTAATCTGAGTGCTTGGTAGCCGAGGTGAATGCAAATCCTGTCGTTATAGCAGGATCAACCATCAAACCTTCTGGCCTACAAACGTCGCCAGTGGACAGCCCAATGCCTTGCCCCTTTCCCTCCTGTAAAAACCCTTTGCCTTACTCCTTTCTCTCCTATAAAACCTTTTGACGAAAAAGGGTACGGAAAACCAGTATTGTTCCTTTATCTATTCACACCTAGAATTGACTAAAGAATCAGTGAAATTTACCGACTTGAAAGAGGAGGTGTCCAATTCCCAGGGCTCGGTATTAGGTACGCGGATGCGTTACCTTCATCAAGCTGGGCGCTTGGTGTTCGGCATGGATGCAAGGCCCGTCATTGTATCATGACCAACGATCAAAAGTTCTGGCGTGCACATGTCGCTAGCGGACAGCCCCACGCCCCACTCCTTTCACTTCTTTACAACCCGCTGACCAAAAAGGATACGGAAAGCCAGCATTGTCGCCCTCTCCATTCCCATCCAGAATCGACCTAAAAATCAGTGAAATTTACCGACTTGAAAAAGGGAGTGTGCAACTTCCAGGCCTCAACTTTCAATTCGTGCAAAAGTTACATCAATGATTGACTTCAGCCTCTGAAAAACAGTTTATGGATTGTAGAACAAGTGGCAGGAATTTACTGGGGGAAGAAGCAAAATGTCAACTACTCAACAATGTTAATCTCACCATTTCAACATATCCACGATTCAATGCTGAAATGCATCGCATTTTCATTTAGTATCAAAGGGACAAGACTGTTTCAGATTCAATGCAGCACTATCCAGGTCGCAAACATTTTCAGCACAATTACTGATCATGTCGGATACAGCAACGCATTTTTTTAGAATTTATTTATCATGAATCATCATGAGATCATATCATATCATTATCATATCATTATCATGAGAATTTATCATGTCCGAAACTACATGATATCATATCATATCATACTTGCTCGCCATTAGCACTAGCCCGTCGGCAACTTCGTCCACGAAAAACAAAACAAAAAAACAAGTAGCTTTGAGATCTGTTCCAGCAAGTACATTTTAACGGCAATGCTAACATTAGCAAAGATATGCTGACACTTCGCATCACAGTTTGTATCAATGCGGACGGTGGCAGATCCCTACAGCTGCATTGCCCTGTACCCCGCTACTGCATATATCAGGGCTGACATGAGCTGAATGAAGGTAATATATATGTATGTGTGTATGTATATATATATATATATATATATATATATATATATATATATATATATATATCTGTGTGCGTGCGTGCGTGCGTGCGTGCGTGCGTGCGTGCGTGCGTGCGTGCGTGCGTGCGTGCGTGCGTGCGTGCGTGCGTGCGTGCGTGCGTGCGTGCGTGCGTGCGTGCGTGCGTGCGTGCGTGCGTGCGTGCGTGCGTGTGTGTGTGTGTGTGTGTGTGTGTGTGTGTGTGTGTCTGCCAAAATTCCTGGATGAGACCGGCTCCAATTGTAGCTATTACAAAGACTGAATGTGCTCGTTATGCTGTTTTCATTTTGCCTCCTTACTTCTTCAGTGCAAGGGAGTGTCCTGCGAAGGAAGACTGACGGGCTTGTGACCAATGTGAACCGACGGTTTAAGCAAAGCCTAATATCATCAGCTTTGCGAGAATCATGCACCTCTTTGATCAGACAGTCCGGGACTCTATCTACGTTTGTTTTATGCATCAGTTCTCGTGGGTCGCATCACAACGAGCCCGTCTCACAAGCACCATAACTATCTTGGTCAGACGAGATCTGACAACGGCCCGCCGGATGCGCACCAGCGACGGCAGGCAGCAGGCACTGGAGGCAGTCACCGCGGGCAGCCACTGAGCAATGAAACGCCAAGCCACCCCTCACTGATATCGCCCGATCACCCGTCAATAGGAACGTAAGCAGACCTTTATTTTTGGTGACGCGATGCGACTAGTTTCACAAGCATCACCATGCGATACCCATTTAAATGATATGCTCGATCAGACCCATTTGTGGCATCGTAAGCTCGCTGATAATTTACTTGCGGAGAGTGTGAAGACGATTTACAGCTTCTTTCCAACCTTTCAAGTCACTAATGTCAGCGATAGCGGGACACAAATTCACGAGCAGATGACCCATTTGCTCATCCAGACGCAAGTCACTAGCTGGAAAACATTGCGCTTCATCAAACTTATGTACAAGTGTTGGACACATGGCAACTGAACAGGTTTAATTTGCGCAAAAATAGCTTTATATCATAATGTTTACAAACTACGTAGGACAAAAGGAAGAAATGAATGCTTTCATTTTTCGATTGCAAGAGGAAGCAGCGAATCTGATTTCTCTTCTTAACCTTATTTTACTGATTTATGTCTTCAATAACCATATTTTCGATGCACCGCGGACACAGCTAAGTTACGTGATTTGTCACAACTTTAAGCACGCATCAATGAACATTCTGAAATACCGAAGATGCGTTCAATCCTTTTGAGTTGGTTGATATATGGTTAGGTGTGGTCCAGATTAATCTTCACTTTAGAAAGCCTGCAAAAGCATCTTTATTAAAGTTTGTCGGAAATGCACGGGCTGTAACTTATGACTGTTGCTTCAATCCTTTAAAAAACCGCACTATTAGATCAAAAGGTGTCAGACAATATTGTACACGTTTTATCGATATCTGGGATGTAGAGCAATATTTTGGCCATTTCACCTGTCGATTTGACGTGGTGGATTTGCACGAGATATCCACAATGCCACACCATTTCGTGTTCTCCGGCTTGCCTTTGGCTAAGACTGACACTTTTCAGCATTTCGTGTCATTTTCCATTATTTCTTCCTCTTTCGCAAAATATAAAACAAGCTTCGCACCATCGACCATAAGATAATTAGGGTAGCTGGTCGTAGTTCAGGTCCTCTGGAAATCGATCGATGCATGGTGCAGCGCAGAACCACCATTCGTATCGTCTACAACCAAGTGTTCACAGATAACTGCGCAGGATGTGAGCTCACGCAAACTATAATAGTTTGTGACACAGCTCGGAGAATCCAAAACCATGTGGGTAGGTTCACCCACGGTTGAGAGCAGAAGGTGGGCA